CCTGTAACGAGCGGAGAGATGGGAAGTCAGAGAAAAAAAAAAAAAAAAAAAGAGGACGAATGAATGGTTGCAAGTTGCTCTTCTTTCTATTATTTACCTTGTCGCGCACGACGGGTTCCTCTATCGCGGCGAGGTTCTCCAGAGGCGACAGGAGGACGTGACCCCACTGAGGCCCTCCGACATATTCAACGAAGTTGCCGAGCTCCTCGCTGAGGGCTACAAGCACTTCATCCTCGTCCTCGACGGATTCTAGAAGGCTTTGGTTTCAGCTATAATTCTCGAAGCGCGTATATGGCCTGGTGCAAAAGGGAGCAGAGGAGCACTGACCGTCCAGAAACGGGATAAGCTCGTCGCGTGTGCGCTCGGGGCCCAGGGCGAGAGCAATGGTGGAGAGGCGGTGAATGGCATTGAGGCGAAGGAGAACATCATCGTGCTGTCGACACAGGAGATTAGTTGAGTGCCAGCTCCGTTGCGAGAAAGGCGTTTTGACGTAGGCGGAACGGAACAGACCAGGAGGAGGACTAGGGAGAAAAGGGAGGGGAATGGAGGGGAGAGAAGGGGGGGGGGGGAAGGTGGTGGACGCACCTTGAGCTCGTCGATGAGCACAGCGATAGGATAAAGCTCCTGGCTGACGTTCGTCTGTTCTGCCATGACGAGCGACGAGGGAACGGAGCACACGTCGAAAAAGTAACGGGACGGAGTCGGACGAGGGAAAAGTACTTTGTCTTTGGCGGTCAGAGTGGTCAAGCCAGCGATCGGGGTTAGATCGCGTGCAGAGTGATGCAACGAGGGTCGGTGCGGCGGCGGTTGTGGGTAATGTTTTGTGTGGGGCCTGGGGGACAAGGAGGATGAATTTGGGAATGAAGGTAGAGATACAGTGGGAATAAGGTAGTCAGTTGGCAGTTGGGTAACTACCTACGGGAGTAGACGACGGTAAATCTCCTCGACTCTGTCTGTATGTGCTATCAGAAAGAAAAAGGGTAAGGTAGAGAGGTTGATTGTTGGATAGAGAGGGGAGATAGAAGAAGGAATATGCAATAAGGGGCTGACCGTGCCGGATAATTATTCAGGTTTTGCTGTAGGCAGGGTCAGCAAGTGGAAAAGGGCAGGTGCAGGCGCGAGGCTGGTGATGATGTTAGGAGAGATTGGGTAGAGGGGGGGAATGAATAGGAGCAGCAGTCAAATATCTGCGAGGGGAGCTCAAAGTCGCTCATCCGCTGGGTGACTTGGTACAAATGGCACAATACGTGCCTAGGGAAGGTACAGAATTAAGATTGTACATGCAGACAAGGCTCAAGATTCAGGCATCGGTCCCACCTTGCCGGTGGGCGCGGGCCACTTTCTATTGTGGGCGGCCACGTGACCACCACCGCCAGCTAATCACGCAAGTGTCTATGAGCTTCAAGATTCGTCCGTCTTTCGCACAGAGAATGGTCAGATTCCCTGGCGCGAACATGTTTGGGGATTCAAATGACGTTGAATTTGCGGCAGCACTGTTCTCAGGCTCTTAGTCCTGATTGCCGCTGTGGACGGCATTCCTTGACTCCAAGTCGATTTTGCCCTATTTTCGGTACTGACGTACCTACCTTAATATACGGTAAGATACGGTAGTTGAGACGACCACCAAGTACCTACTCCGTGTTTCTATTCGACAGAAACCAATTGTCGCACAGTGTACCGAGTTGGGACGCTACCATGTTGACTCTTGAAGAAAGCATAAGGTTAAGGTAAGGTAGTGGGGTAAGAGGTACGGAAGTTCCTGAAATCCCATTGCCCCACCATCAACCATCCACTCCGGGTTTCGGCAGGCCGACGTAAGTACGGCTACCGCTAGCTGGACTGGACATTTTGGAATTTTGAGGAGTACGAAAGTACATACCTATTGTGACTCAGGCCAAAAAGCAAACAACCACATCCCGCCTAATCGTACTTTCACGACAGGGAAGTAAGTGCACCCACACAACGTCTAGGCGGTTTCGGCAACAGTCGATCGGTTCAGTTGTCAAGATGCCCACCATCGCCGTCAACAAGTACGATCTGTTCAAGGCCCTCGGTCAAACGTAAGTGTCGTCCCACCACCACAAAGAAGGGAGAAAGACTCCTCTATTCCACTAACCCCCCACCATGGGATGCGATGCCAACACGCCCCTCCTCCCCGCCTTCTTGAGCGAAAAGATGCGATTGTCTTGCCAGCCATAACCAACACCAACCCGCCAACCCCCTATTCCAATATCTACACTCTGCTGACTTGTGTATCTTCCTCTGATTTCCCTTCATACAGCTTCACGACCGAGGAATTTGAAGATCTCTGCTTCGAGTTCGGCATCGAGCTCGACGAGGATACCGAAAATGACGACCGTCCCGTGGTTGACGGCGTCCAGGCGCCGCCCGAGCTCAAGATCGAAATCCCCGCCAACCGCTATGATATGCTGTGCTTCGAGGGTATTGCGCTTATGCTCAACATCTTCAGGGAAAAGACGGCACTTCCAAACTACACCGTGGTGGCCCCCAAGGACCCCGAGACCCAGGTCATCACCGTATCTCCCGAGACCGCGCGAATCCGACCACTTGTGGCAGGCGCCATTCTCAGGAACGTCAAATTTACTCCGGAGAGCTATAACTCCTTCATCTCCCTACAAGACAAGCTGCACATGAACCTCGCCAGGCAACGGACCCTAGTCGCCATCGGCACCCACGACCTCGACACTATACAAGGCCCCTTCACCTACGAAGCCCTGCCTCCCAAGGACATCAAGTTCACCCCGCTGAATCAGACCAAGGAGATGGACGGCGAGGAGCTGATGCGCTTCTACGAGGGGGACAAGCATCTCGGCAAGTACTTGCACATCATCCGCGATTCGCCCGTCTTCCCAGTCATCTACGACAAGAATCGCGTCGTCTGCTCGCTGCCCCCCATCATCAACGGAGAGCACTCCAAGATCTCTGTCGACACAAAGAACGTTTTCATCGAGATGACCGCCACCGACACGACCAAGCTGCAGATCGTCTGCGACATGATGGTCACAATGTTCTCGCAGTACTGCGCTGAGCCCTTCACTGTCGAGCCCGTTCAGATCGTCTCGGAACACAACAGCATGTCCAGAGTCACCCCGACCCTCCGTCCTCGGACGATCGACGTCGAGATCGACTACCTCAACGCCTGCACGGGCCTCAACGAGTCACCCGAGGTCCTCTGCCGGCTCCTCACCAAGATGGCCTATGTCGCCAAGCCCTCTCCCAAGGACAGCAACCTGCTCGAGGTGTCCATCCCCGTCACCCGCGCCGACGTCCTGCATCAGTGCGACGTTATGGAAGACCTCGCCATCTGTCACGGCTACAACAACTTACCGCGCTCCTCGCCCAACAAGAGCGCCACCATCGGCGCCCCGCTCATGCTCAACAAGCTCGCCGACATCATCCGCGTCGAGGCTGCCATGGCCGGCTGGAGCGAGGTCATGCCCCTCATCCTGTGCAGCCACGAGGAGAACTTCGCCTGGCTCAACCGCTCCGACGACGGCACCACCGCCGTCCGTCTCGCCAACCCCAAGACGGCCGAGTACCAGGTCGCCCGCACCACCCTGCTCCCCGGCCTGCTCAAGACCATCCGTGAGAACAAGGGCCACTCGGTCCCCATCAAGATCTTCGAGGTGGCCGACGTCGTCCTGAAAGACGAGTCCCTCGAGCGCAGGGCTCGCAACGAGCGCCACTTCGCCGCCGCCTGGTGCGGCAAGTCCTCCGGCTTCGAGATGGTCCACGGCCTCCTGGACCGTGTCCTCCTCATGCTCCGCACCGCCTTCCTCGCCCACGACGAGGGGCTCACCCCCGCCAAGGGTGTCAACTTCACCGTCACCCAGGAGCATACCAAGCAGGATGGCTACTGGATCGAGGAGATTGACGAGCCCACTTTCTTCGCCGGCCACGCTGCCGGCGTCTTCCTCCGCCTTGACGGGAAGGAGGTTCGCATCGGCGAGTTTGGCATTTTGCATCCCACCGTCCTCGAGAAGTTCGATCTGAAGTACGTATCCTAACCACTCCGTCTACTCTTTCTCCTTCTGTCTCCGAATCCTGTTACAAACGTTAGGCAAAATCTGCGTTTGAGCTTTGAAACTGACTCGTTTATGTTTCCTAGATACCCCGTGAGTACGCTCGAGATCAATCTCGAGGTCTTCTTATAGAGAAAGAAAAGGAAAAAGGAAAAGAAAGAAAAAAACCCAATAAAGAGGAAGGAGACAAAACGCTAGGGTGATGATGATCATGACGGGTCCGAACTTTATAGAAGATGCGTGTCAGACAGGTTAGAGCTTCTGTTACAACACTTCCCAAAGACAATGAATCCATGGATGATCAACGATTATAAACAAACCACCATTGTCGGTCGTTGTAGTTTATCGCTAGTAGAGAACAGAGGAAAACCCACGGATCCGTGTCTCACTTCCACGAGATATTCGACTTTGCGAACGTTCCCTCGTATCACAACGCTGGTAATGACAAATCATCTATCCGGTACGCCATGTCCTTTTTCGCCTCACCGCTGTCCCAAATACGCTGGTTTCCATCCCACTTGATTAATCTACCCGTATACAGCAACAATCGTCACTCCGCAACGTTAAGGGGACGGAGTTCCTGTTCAGCACGCGCGGGAACTCTCGCTTCTTCCGGGCCGGGAGAGCTGCCCCGACCACCCATACTGCTCAACATGTTCACCCCCCTACGCAGAGCCGCAAAGGCGCTCGTATTGTCGGCTGACGCGCTCCGATGTAACGTCCTCGCGTTGTCGGGGGTGAGCGTCTCGTGGGCCGTCTCGACAGCCGCGACAACCGATTGGCTGGCAGGCAGACCGGGCGGCCTCGCATCGGTGATGTGGTACGTCGGCGTCCCCGCTCGGCTCCGGCCACGCGGGCCATCCGAGCCGAGATTGGCCATCGCCGAGGCTATGGACAGCTCGGCCGCCTCTGCAGCGTTGAGGTGGCTATTCATCTCCTCATCGGTCCGGTTGAAGACCTGATGCCACCAACGGATGCCGTCCAGCTTAGGGAACATGATCCTCTCGCGGCCCGGGACGTGGTCGTCGATGACGGGGTCGTAGTCCTTGTTGGTGAATTCGGCCCTCCTGGCAAGGAAGTAGTCCCAGACCGAGGAGGTTTTCTGCACGGCTTGCGCATCATGACGCTGCTTCTCCGAGTTATAAAGAAACGTGCCGTACTGACAAGAGTGGAGGTGATAAAGCAGGCGCCGAAGGAAACGCTCGTTGTACTCGAAGCGGTTGGGGAATTGCCGGATGAGCTGATACGCACAATCGAGAAATTGGTGGAAGACGGGGCTGACCATCTTGGGGACGGTAGCTTCATCGTTGGCAATCGACCCTGTCGCACCTTCGGCGGCCACGTCCAGATCGGCGGGGTCGTCTTTGCTCTGATTGAAGAAGCGCTTGGCATTCGCAATGGCATTCTGGAAGGCGTCGGCGCGGCCGTCGTTCTCGCCCGGTTGGATGGTAGATCCTGCCATGGCGTCCCGTTGGACGACGAAGCAGCTCTCGTGGCTCAGATGACCGGACCGCAGCCGGAACATGTGCCCGAAGGAAAGCCAGTCTTTTTCGACGAGATTAACGAAGCCTTCGATTGTGCGGAAGTAAGGGTCAAGCATGATCTGGCTCAGGGCACTGAGCTGACTGGTTCGATCCCAGCCGTCGGAGCAGTGAATGAGCACGTGAGAGTGGTAAATGCCGACCTGCCTGGTGATAAGGCTTGCCCCTTGCAGGACAGCCCTCGTGTGCTTGAGCCAGCCGCTGGAGGCCAGTAGATCTCGGTTCGGCGGCAGCGGGGAGATGTCGGCGTCCTTGATGGCCTCGACGACCCTGTTGAGTGAGTTTCTCATGACGTGGATGTTGTCGATGTTAAGAAAGATCTTCTTGGCGGCGGGATAACGGTCCATGGGCTCCGATCCCATGCCTTGCACTTGGTTGACTATGGCGTTGACGGTCGGTCGCGCGTCGACGATGAGATTGCGCTGCTGGGCGCCAAAAATGAGCCTCTTGCCGGTCTTCTCATCGTACATGTGGGGTGTGCCAGCGAGGAAGCTGTCTTCGAACTTCTCCGAGGTGGTCAGCTGCGCCTCGACAGCGTCGATATCGCTTGGCGGAGGTGGTAGGTGGTCATCATGGTCGGAGTAGGACGGTGAAGCTGAAAAAGAGGCTGCCACTAGCTTCTCGTCTTGGATATTGTTCTTCCGAGTGATGCCAGACAGAGGCTGGGCACTTCGAGTGATGGTACAGTTGTTGACCGGGTGCAGGTAGGTCAAGACGGGGATTCGACACCTTGAGCGGTAGTCTTTGGCGTACTTCAGCACGTTGTCGGAAATCGTCGAGGGAACAACCAGCATGGCCGGGTAGGTATCGCAAAAAGAATAGTCCTTATTGATCCAGGTGATGCGCCATCCCTTGTCCGGTAATTTTTCACTGATGCCCTGCCTGCGGAACTCTGCTTTGGGATCGTAATGCTCCCAGCCGTTGATGGCCTGCTCTGCTTTTGAAGGCCTGTGAGTGAAGGCGTATAGATTCTGGACAGTTCCTAGTCTGCATGTTCTATTCCTGATGAAGTCGAAAGCTTCACGCGCTGCCTTGTCATCGCCGAAGTTGAAGCACACGAACACATAGTCGCGACAGCGTAATCGTATCGAGCTTGGAATGCCTGAAGTAGCAGGGGTAGGACGGAGGGTGCAGAGTGATATGATGGGATATGTGATCCATGATTCGCGAGCCCTCGGAGGGGTCGTGGAGGTAGGAAGAGACTCGTCCTTTGGCTCTGGAGGCGGACAGGAGAAGACAAGGTGGAAATCGGTCAGGCGCAGGGTACCGTTCGAGATGATGCCGCCATTAATACATTGCACGTCGTCGAAGACCTAAGGAGGAAGTGGGTTACAAACACAAACACCCAAAGAAAGCCCGAGACTCCGATGATTCCGCATTTGCTAGCTGGCTGCAGAGACAGACAAACAGACATACCTTCCTGGCCTCCATGACGGCCAGTGCGCGCCTTTAGGCTGTAAGCTGTAAGATGAGGAGAAACGCTGTTGGCTGTTGGCTGTCGCTATCTCTGTTGTATCTGAATATGGAGGTCTATAGCCCACGTCCTCAGTCGCAGCGGGAGGGTAAATCGATCATCGTATGGTGGCAGCTGATGGGCTGTGTTTACTTCGTACTTTCGCGGGGCAGCGGGCTACTCCGTGCTCCATATACCTTACCTTATGTCCAGTCTACCTTACCTACCTTACCTTAGGTAAGGCAGGTAGAAGAGGTCAATACCTAAGGTACCTTATTAGGTAATACGGCATGAGAAGTGCCTCTACTCCTCATGATCCCATGATTGTCTTTCCCGCATTACTTCGATAGAGCATTTCGTTAGTCGGCTGGTTACATACTGTAGTTGTTATGCCTATACCCGGGCCCCATTCGCCAAGAAAAGTTCGACCAGCAAAATTCCCGGTGCACAGACCACCATAGAAAGTTGTCCCTAGGGCACAGGCGATTTTCTCAACCCACACAAGGAATTCTGAGCCGAGCTGCAGCCTCTCCCAACACCCAGCGACCGACGACGACATCACCTCGCCCTCTCGACACTTCACGCCCCTCCAATCGCCCATCTCTCCCGATCGACGTCGAGTTTTCGGACAAATAAGTCAAGATGGCTGTTCCAGGCACTCAGATGTAAGGATCTTCCTCTACGACTCTCGAGTTCTCTCTCTTCAAGCCCCCCCGCAAACCGATCACCATCCATTTGGTCGCGAACTTTTTCCCTCCCGGGGCCACCTTTCCCGCAGGATTCACACATGTTCCTCTGCCCAACCCACAGAAATACCAGCCCGACAAAAATGCACTTATCCTGTTGTTCGAATGTGTAGGCTAACGTAGCTATGTGTTTTCGTTTTCCCCGCGATATAGCTCCAAGCGCAGAAAGTTCGTCGCCGACGGCGTCTTCTATGCCGAGCTCAACGAGTTCTTTCAGCGCGAGCTGGCTGAGGAGGGCTACTCTGGCGTCGAGGTCCGCGTCACCCCGACAGTGACCGACATCATCATCCGCGCCACCCACACCCAGGAGGTCCTCGGCGAGCAGGGCCGCCGCATCCGCGAGCTCACCTCGCTCATCCAGAAGCGCTTCAAGTTCCCCGAAAACAGCGTCTCGCTGTACGCCGCCAAGGTCCAGAGCCGCGGTCTCTCCGCCGTCGCCCAGTGCGAGTCCCTCCGCTACAAGCTCCTCAACGGCCTTGCCGTCCGCCGTGCCTGCTACGGTGTCCTCCGCTTCATCATGGAGTCCGGCGCCAAGGGCTGCGAGGTCGTCGTCTCCGGCAAGCTCCGCGCCGCCCGCGCCAAGAGCATGAAGTTCACCGACGGCTTCATGATCCACTCCGGCCAGCCCGCCAAGGAGTTCATCGACTCCGCCACCCGCCACGTCCTCCTCCGCCAGGGCGTCCTCGGCATCAAGGTCAAGATCATGCGCGGTTCCGACCCCGACGGCAAGTCCGGCCTCCAGAAGAGCCTCCCCGATGCCGTCACCATCCTCGAGCCCAAGGAGGAGCAGACCGTCATCCAGCCCATGAGCCAGGATTACGGTGCCAAGGCCGCCCAGGCCCAGGCCCAGGCTGAGCAGCAACGGTTGGAGCAGGAGGGTGCCGCTGAGGAGGAGGCGCCCGCTGAGCCGGAGGCTTAAGAGATGCGGCTTTCCGACTTTGTTGTTACTGGGGAAGGAGGGAGGAGGGGAGGAGAAGAACTTTGACAAGCAGAGAGCAAACAAAAAGGGTCCTTGGGGGAGTGGGCTGGCTTTACTACCACAAATGGCGTCTTGATCTCATTTGCATCTCCCTTGCGGTAGAGGGAGTTTTTGGGAACGTCTTGGTTGCGGTCTGGCTTGTAATGATACACAAACCATATATGAGAGCAACGACGGACGTGGACACCCAATTTGCTTGTTTTGGTCCCTCGTATATCATGCGGCCCCCAGTTATGGAGTCAGATATGATCTGTGCTTACTGGCACACCTGCCTTTCCCATGAGAGTCCTCAATGCCAAGGCAAAGAGCTCTGGCAATCGTGTCTTGTCGGGATTATCTCTTTAACTGCAACTCAACTGACAACACATGTACTGTCTAATTATTGCCCGCAGCCGGCTATGCAGGCTTCTCCAAAAAAAACAGACAAAAGGTATCGTGACCCCTTTTCCCACAGGCGAGTCCGCTTCGCAACACCCTCTGCAAGTGGGTGAAGCCCGGGCAGTGTTTCCTTTCTCGGGTACTGCTTCGCATCGTGTCTAATCGTACAGAGCAAGCCTCTTCGCTTCCGAAGCGCTATGTGCAAGGCAAGGAAGAAAAAAAGGAAAAAAAGGAAAAAAAGGAAAAAAAGGAAAAAAAGAAAAAAAGAAAAAAAAGAAGAAGAAAAGAAGAAGAAAAGAAGAAGAAAAAAGAAGAAGAAAAAAGAAGCAGAAGCAGAAGCAAAAGCAGAAAGAGAAAAGAGCAGTAAAACCAAATGGTTTCTGATGAATCAAGCCTCCCCCATTACACGCCAAACACCGAGTCCGTGGTTATATATAATGCCAAGTCGGGAGAGTAACCAGACGAAATAGATCCCTGCATCTTTTCCCCTCGTTAAAGTTCCCAGGCCTGGGGCCGACAATCGTTGAACCTCCCCCAGAATCCCTTGCAAGGCATGTGTCTCGTGAAATTCAACCCTGCGCCGCTCAGCCAGAGACCCGCGGTTTGATCTTCCAATGATCTCTTCCCGGAAAACATGCAAACGTCAAATCGGACCTTCGTGGGAGAAAGGATAGCGAGCGCCATTGAGAAAGACAGCCAACCACCCGAAATCCCCCCTGCCCGACCCAGAACAAGGAAGCGAGAAGGGCGTAAGGCCCACAGGAGCGAGGAAACGGGTTACCTGTCGTGCGAGCGGCGTGTCTGCATCTCGATGCCCTCCTCATGGGATTTTGACTTTCCGTTTGCTCGGCCGTTCGGGCGACCCGTGCTATCTTCATCGCTATCCTCGGCAAGATCTGTCAGCCCGAACTCGGCACCGGCTTCTTCATCGTACGCTCTCATGAGGCCGGTGGTGTCTCCGTGGTGGCTGCTCATGCTGTGCCTGGGGTCGGTGCTGCGCCTTGCTTGCAAGCTCAGACGCGTTTGGATGCTGGATACCATGTCCGTCCCTGTGGCGTCGGGGCCTCCTTGGCCAGAAATCATTTTATGGCCGTACGGATCTGACCGCGAGAGATTTAGAAGGTAGACTCCGGTGAACGTGACCAAGAAGCCACAGAGGAGAGACAAGGTGGTGACGACGTCGGTGGTGTTGAATCCGCTGAAGAGGATGAAGGACGCACACAGCGTTGCTGTGGTGAATGTCACGTAGTAGAGGGGATTGACACTGCACGAAAACCCAGTTAGTTAGAAATCCGCCAGGTGGTCTCCGTCCACGAGAACATATCCGACGTTAGTTAGGTACACTGACATGTTGGTGGGGAAGTGCGCGAGAGCCTTGTTGAAATAGTTCATCTGTGTCAAGATGCAGACCGTGGTCAAGATCATGAAAACATAGGTGGAAGGGTGCGAGAACTGGTTATTCCCAGCCATCGTGAGCTTCAGGGCGATACCGAACGCCTTGACCGACATGACAGATATCGATCCCACCGTCGAGCAGATCGACAAGTAGATCAGGGCGTTCTTCCTCCCGTGGAGAGGGGCAATTTTGTAGATCATGACGACGGCGAAGATGGTAACAACGGTCATGTAAAGGAGAAAACCTGGCAAAAGAAGAAAAGAAAAAAAGTCAGCTCCTCCGTAGCCCATGTCCACGGCTGGGGGATGATCGTGGCAAAGGAAACGCACCTGGCTGAATGGCGTAGTGCAAGATCTGGTCGATCGTCTCGATTTCCTCGTCGGGGGGTGCGTGGAGCACGATGATGACGGCACCGATGAGGCAGATGGCACTTCCGAGTCTGCCCAACGTGCCCAAATGCTCGTTGAGAAAGTATGATCCAAGCACGGCGCCGATCAAAACCGAGAGCGCACCTAATGGTGTTACGAGAATCGCTGGCGCAAAAGCATACGCCGCAAAGTTGCATATCTCCCCAACGACCACTATCCCTGGTTGTCAGCATATCGTCGGGGTCATGGAAGAAATCATGCGCGCATACGTGTTGCGATGCCGGCCCACCAGATGGGGCTCTTTAGATACACAAAGCCGTCACCTTCAAACCCGTGACGTTCTTCCGCATGCAGCAGACCCTGCGGTGAAAGCGATTAGTGGATGGGACGCCGATTACGAACGAGGGACCGAGGCGAGGGGCGAGGTGGGCGAATCGCGACGGCCGACGGTGTAGTGTACCTTTTTGGTGATCACGAAGCTCACACCTGTGAGTTCAACCCAGATTAGCAGCCATTCTAACAGTAAACAGGCAACAGGCAACAGGCAACAGGAAAGGGGCAACATACCGATAGCTAAACTGGATGACATGGCCAGCGCCAGGCCGATGTATCTATTGAAGAAGCGTTCATCAGCTTTCTGGATCTTTTGTATGTCAAAAAAAAAAATACCCAAGATTCCTCCGCATATCGCAACGTACTTCTCCTCGAGCATCATGACGGACGAAAGAACAGCACAGCCAGGACTGCGCGAAAGTGACGGTGGGAGTTTGAGTTGGGGGTGCGCGATTATGGAGGCCTCGTAGATTGGTGGCAGAGCGAGTGTTGTGGTCGTAGAGGACTCGGCGAGGCTCGCGCCAGGCGAGAGTATGATGTGTGGGCGGATAGCGAGAGCGAGAGGGAGAAGGACCGTCGTCAAAACGGAATCATGGATTCTCAATTGGCGACCAAATCGGTTTCGTTCGGATATGAATACGGAGTGCAAACAAGTCGAAAATCGTTTGCAAGTTTAAGATTCGAAGCGCCGCCGAGGAAGAGAGCTCAATGTCGGAACAATCGGCAAGTCGCAGAGGGCGTCCAAGAAAGGCAACCGGCTCTTATCGAGGGGGGTTTTCAGAGGTGGAGGATGGCGGAGGGAAATGAAGATGTTTCGACCACAAACGCAGTAATTGGTGTATGGGGACAGAAGCGCTACGTAGCGTGATCTAGAAACCCAGTGGCTCCGTGGCTGGCCCCCCAGTTTCAGTCCTTGACCCCTGGCCATACGAGTACGTAACACGGAGACTCCGTACAAAGGTACAGTGCGGGTGTGCAAACTGGCACCCAATGTTATTAGGATTTCCAGGGGCCGGCCCCACACTTCCAGCCACCTCACCAACCACAGTCAATATCTAAGGTCCAGGGTTTACAGCTTTGAACGCTTCCTATTCGTCTCCGTATCTCATCTCCGTGTCAAGCCACAAAGGAACCCTCCGAAGTGGCTTTACGTTCGTATTTGGGCTTTTTACGGATACCTACCTAAATTTAGTACCTTACCTAATAAATGTACGAAGGACCCATAATTAGGCTTTTACCTTCGTACCAACTGATTCACGTCCCGACTGTGTTAGTCAGCATCGCGCCTCACGTGTATCACAGTCTAGTTGCTAACGAATTACATTTAAGCCCCCTCGAAACTCGAAAACATGCCAGTGCCTCTGCTCATCTTGTCGCCAGTCATGCCAGTCACGCCAGTCACGCCAGATACTGGTACTAGCCTTGTACATGCTGGTATGCCCGTCAAGATGGTGCCATTAGACAAAGTTGACAGGATCATGGCGCGTTCGATCCACGGACAGATTGAAGACATCCAGTCGTTGATACCCACCCACCACATCGTGATATTGCTTGCCCTCGATACAGTCCTCCAAGTCCATATCAGCGTAGAGGATGCCTTGTTCGCGCTGCAAGTGCTCCGTATCAACCTTGTTGCCCTCCTCGAACACGAACCCAGGCAGGAGAGCCCCGGTGGGATCCAGGAACATGGTCGCCCCGCGTTGCGACTGTTCGAGAGCCTCGCGGACGTAGTCAGCGGCACCGGACGCGATGGCGTCGATGGCATCTTGCCCGAGCACGCCGGCACAAAGAACGCCGAAGCACTTGGCCTCGAAGCAGTGGGCAGCCGCCCGCGTACGGTTGGCGGCGACGTTGTCATAGTTGGCCTTGTTCCAGGCGCTGCTCGAAGTCGGGGCGCCGTTGACGTCGTCGCCTTCGCCCGGGGCCGCGGTTGTTTTCGCAGCAGCAGCTTTGCCGGGGAGTCGGGTGGGCCAGATAGCCGGCCAGGTCGAGATGTGGAGTTGTTCGCCCTGTGCCATCATGGAATACCTGGCCAGCGGGTTCGTGTTCTCGCCGCAGATGAGGTTTCCGATCTTGCCGAACTCGGTGTCCGCTACCTTGAGCCCGTGGCCGTCGCCGGGCGACCACGTCAGCTTTTCGAAAAAGGTCGGCATCAGCTTCCTGTGGTGTACGAGGACGTCGCCGTGGTTGTCGATGAAGATGTTCGAGTTGAACAAGGTGGCGCTGCTGTAGCGGACTTTCTCCGAAAAGCCGACACTGATCATGACACCTAGTCTCTTGGCCTCGCGACGGAGGGCATCGATCTCCGGGCCGTCGGCGTAGATGGACTCGAGGGCCATGCGCTTGAAGAACTCATGGTTGTCGGTCGGGGCTCGAACAGAGCTCCATGCAGGGAAGGCCGCGATGTAAGTCTCGGGAAAGATGACGAGGTTGGCACCGTTTCCAACTGCCTCCTTCACCAATGCGAGGGCCTTTTTGGTTGTGTCTTGCGCTGATAGAAAGACCGGCGCGGCGTGGCACGCGGCTACTCTGATGTTTCGAGGCATTGTGAATGTGAATGTGAATGCGGGCGTATGATCTTGAATCTGTTGGATGAAGACTTGAGAGGATTCGTCGTAAGCTCTCTCCTTTTCTCTTCTCTCTTCTTTCTTTCTCTGCGGTGGTTGATAAGGTTTTCTCTCAAGTTTTCTCTTTGCTCTTTATTTCGCAACGTCGGTCATTAATTTGGAATCCGATTCATCTGCAGACGACAGACCAGACAGTGGAGCCGGGGGATGAAGAATGACCCCGCACTTGGAGCTGTTGCAACTCTGGTCCCGAGAATCTGGCTAGGCGTTTAGAGGTCGCAACGTGATAGATGCTCTCCTGCAGGGACTCGGAGCCAAGGTCGTCCAGCCAAGCCCGTGTTGAGGCACTATCTAAGCTTATCACGAGTGACTTGTGATTGGGTCATAGCTTAATAACGACTACCTACCTAGGGGAGCCACTTAATTACCCTACAACGTACACAAATGACCCGGTACCTCCAACGGGATTTGTTGGAGTGCCGGGTTCGTTCTCAGAACCCTGGGTGTGAACAGGTACTAAATGCAAGAGGCTAAGCGGTTAATAAGGCCAAGGCCAACAACCCCGGCACCGCTCCTTGTTCTTATTTGTCACCGAGTGTCTGACAGAGCTCCCCAAAAGTACCCCGGTAGGCCAGGTATCAAGACGGGACTAGCCATATCTCTTTTATCTTGATTCTGGTTTATCAGAGGGCCGGGGAGTAGAAGTGAGGGCCGATGCCGAGAGCTAGATAAGAAGGTCGAGCTTCAAGTTCGCGTCTTGAAGTCCACAGAAGCTCACCATGGTCTTATTGTTGTCTACAAATAGTCCAGTCTTTCTCGCGTTGTTTGGCAATGATCGAGACTGACAAGATCACTTCTGCCACGAGAATCCACCTATTGGTCTCTTGAAATCCTACAAGCCTTGTGTCGAAGCAGCCCGGAAACCTCCCAGACATGGGGGAAATAACGAAATTCGCCGATGTTGAACGTACCACACCCTCCGAGAGCATCGCGGAGGGTAAGGTGACTGGCGTTGCCGACGAGAGAGCCCGACAGCTTGCCCAACTGCCTGACCCTGATGAAGGGAAAAGCGACGAAGAACGAGCTGAGATTGTACGTTTCCATGTCCTGCGTTGTCGTGCCTAGCTTGGTCTTGCTTGCCATATACGGTCTGCGAATGCCTACTAACACCACCACCCACCGCCTTTAGGACCGCAAGCTTGTCCGCAAGATTGATCTCTGGCTCATCCCATGGCTATCCCTCCTTTACCTTCTTTCGTTCCTCGATCGGACCAATATTGGCAATGCCCGACTGGCTGGCCTCGAGCCGGACCTGAACATGACCGGTGCCAACTACAATATGGCTCTGTCCATTTTTTTCATCAGCTATGCTGCTTTCGAGCCCACGACCAACGCGTTGCTAAAGAGCGTCACTCCTCGCGTGTTCTTCACGGCGATCGTCGTCATCTGGGGCACCATCATGACCCTGATGGGCCTGGTGACCAACTATCACGGTCTCTTGGCAGCTCGCTTCTTCCTCGGCATTGCTGAAGCAGGCCTTTTCCCTGGTAAGCCATGAATATAACACATCTTTTTTTGCGCTGCTCTCGTATATAGCAGCAAAGAATACTAATCAAGCAAAATACACCAGGTGTGAGTTACTACTTGTCCTACTGGTACAAATCATCCGAGGTCGGGCTCCGAATTGCCGTCTTCTTCTCCGCCGCCGCGCTGGCAGGTTCATTCGGAGGCCTGCTGGCTGCTGCGATTGCCAAGATGGATGGTATCGGAGGCAAAGCCGGCTGGGCGTGGATCTTTATCCTCGAGGGAGCCGTGACCGTGTTCTTCGGCCTCCTCTGCTGGCGTATGGTATTTAACTGGCCCGCGACGGCTCGCTTCCTTTCGGAGGAAGACCGTATCCGCGTGCAACGACGTATCATCAGCGACCGACAGGGTGCGACGGCCGACCACTTCGACAGGCGCCATATCTGGGCCGCGCTGCGCGATTGGCAGTCGTACGGCTACATGTGCCTGAATGCGGGCTCCCTGACTCCGATCTACGCCTTCTCCCTCTTCCTCCCTACTATCCTTCGTGGCATGGGACACCAGGGAACCACGGCCCAGTTGTTGTCCGTGCCTCCCTATGCCCTGGCTTCCATGACCACCGTTGCCGTGGGTTACATTGCGGACAGGACGCGACAGAGAGGCCTCATGAGCATGATCTGCGCCGTGGTCGGCATGACGGGTTTCGCCATGATGCTTGGCTCTAACACTCCCTCGGTTAAATACGTCGGTACATTCCTCGGCGCCGCCGGCGTGTATCCCACATGTCCCAATACGCTCTCCTGGACCGTCAATAACACCGAAGGCCCTATTAAGCGCGGAATCGTTGTCGGCCTCGTCGTCGGATGGGCCAATCTCAACGGCATCGTCGCGTCGAATATCTACCTTGTCAGGGAAGCACCGCGTTTCTGGACAGGTCATGGCGTGGTGCTGGGTTACCAGTTCTTCTTCCTGTTCTGTGCCTCGGCCGTGATGCACATTTGTCTCAAGACCACTAACAAGCGTCGCCGCGAAGGCAAGATGGACGCCCAGTGGGAGGCCATGTCGCAAGACGAGAGGTACATCGCTGGCGATAAGAGGCCAGACTTCGTCTACGTCACTTGAGCGGAACCATGCGCAGGGAATCGTGTTCAAACTGGATGGGGATCGGAACTGGTTTACGAGATTCGGGGGAGGAAAACACTCCTAAAAGGTTATATGCTAGTAAGGTACGGTAAGGTAGCTTTTTCAGTTTATACGAAGTACTGGTACAGTGGAGGGAGACCAGGAAATCTTGAACAGTCGCCAGCTTTCGAGAGAAGTCATCGTCAGCTCTCCTGGCAGGACAGCCGGGCTACCTATAGCACACATGAATTTATTCTTAATACGGCCTTGCGTCCTGTCCGTCTTTGAATGTTTTGTGGTTACTTATACAGGAGCAGACGACTACGGATGTCTCCATTCTTACCAAAGCCTCGAACAGCACTGGGGAGTGACTCGGAGTTCCGTCTCCCTACGACTACACTTACTCCGCACTTCGTACTTCTCCACATCTCGAAGAGTGCACGGTGCTCATTTGGAGCATATCGTCAGTCGGGGAAGCCCGTGTCCACTCCGCGGTCCAATGGGGACGTCAGCGGATGGGCGAGGCCCATGGGGTAGTCCCACCCGGAGGCCAGAACTAGCTCCGAGGCTGTTAGGTACATCCACGTGCTTCATGCATGTTGGCCAGCGACGGGATATCACAGCGCATGGTGGACATCAGATCAGATTCCTAGCTTCAGTCAGGTAGGTGTATTAGATATTTGATCGACTTGATGGGATTCGAGACAGCCAATATCCCATGTCGTAAATTACTTTGTACTTTTCCCCTGTGATTGGAACCAAATAAAGTATGGATCAAAATCAGCAAGCTACCTTACCTTATTCTTCTGGCAAAAGTAACTTGTCTCTACCTATTTCGGTGGACAAAAAATATAAACCACAAAAAGGTCCCCCAAACCCGTGAGGCTCTCCATTCAACAAAACAGACTCGGTGGAATTCCTCGTCACAGTCCAAGCACGGTTTGCGCCTTTGTCTTGTCAGGCCTGGTCTCCAGGAGTCTGGCGTCCCACGATCTCCAAGTCTTGGAGCACCACTCGCTGGCTGTACCAAAGCATATGTAGCCTCCACTCCCTATTCTCCACGAAAGCCGCAAATCACGACTCCCTCCTTGAGCTCCAGACTCCATTCAACGAAGCAGTGCAAATACCGGATACGCCAAGACGAAGAAGAAGAAAAAGCAGAAACGTCATACCCTCCCGGCCGCATTGATCACAAGCACGTAAGTGCCTATCTGCGCCTCTCTTTTTGGTGGCCACTTTTGCGCCGTACGCCGTCTCCGAGGGCCTAATGCCCGGGTATCGGATGAATAAAAACTTGCCAAACTAATGTAATGTACGACGGGTCGTAGCGCTAGGCCGCCGGCTGTCATACTACGAAGAAGCATGGAACTCGTTCCATGCGTCGCATGACGATTGCTGGTGTCAGTATTTCTGATCGAAGTCGGACCCTACCTTGGTAAATTAGAGCCCTTACGCCAGGGTTATTAGCTTTGCTGCAGTTATGACACTCGGTTATGTCATTTTGAAATCTTTGTCGGAGTCTTCCCTGGCGACCAAGCGGCTGCCTCAGGACGCAGGGGGACGGAAAAAACGCCGAATGTCGAATGGTCGGGGTCTACAAAATGGGGTTCGGACTTGGGTCAATGTAAGTATGGTTAGTCAGGGAATGGGCGAAAGAAGGGTGTCGGCAAGATGAAGCTTAAGACCGCTGACGCTTGACATCTGCACCGGTGTCAGTCCCAGAAGATCCACATAGAAAGAGTGCTTGAGCCAACTAACCTTGCTCGTCCTCTTCGCCGAGCGTGTCGTCCTCCTCCGATCTAGGCCGCTTCCCGGTTACCGACGCGGTGTCATGGAGTGTCTCCTCGTCATCCCCTTGACCGGGGTAATCTCGCCAGTCGATTTCTTCCAACTCATCATGACGAGTCTCCCGCGTGGAAGGCGATGGATGATCATGGAAGTCGTCGCGGGATAGGTCGGCGTTCAGGTCGATACCGGCCCCGAAATCTTCCTCGTCGTCGCCGTTCAGGGTTGCGGTAGCACTAGATACCGGGCTTACCCTACTTGCAGCATCATTGTCGAGTCCTGCTGCCACTGCTTCTACGGTCGTGGTGTCTTCGTCATCGCCTGATACAACTTGCTGCTCTCTATCATAGGCGACATCATCCGTCTGCATATCGGTGGGGTTGAGGAAATGTGCAGTCTCAGAGACTAGGAAGGTCAGGTCAGTATTGCACAGGAGATGCAAAGGTGTATAGGGTGTAGGAAGCGAAATGGCCGACTTACCGTCATATGCCGAAGCCAGCTCAACGACCTCTCTGCTCTCATCCAATGGACCTTCGGCAGTATTTGCCTCCGGCGCCTGGGAAGATGCTAGTTCATCGGGCATGGAAGTCGCAGCATGAACATCATCGTCCGTGGGTTCCGAAGCACCAGTTTCAGCAGCACCCACGGCCTCCAAATCTTCGTCAACCACTTCGTCACCTTTGCTACTCCTCGCGTCATCGAACTCTTGCTCCAGCCCATGATCCAGAGTATAGCTTGGGTCAACTTCACCGTCATCTCCATCGAGTTGTTCAGCTTCATCCTCAACGCCCTCAACAACAACCTCCACCTCGCCTTCCACTTCATCTTCGACATCATCTCCAATTTCATCGTCGACCTGCATGAGGGCCATCCCAGGGTCCTCATCGCTGCTATCCGCATCCCCCGAGTCGTGACCCTGAGGTTGGAAAGAACAGCACACCTCGTCAATGTTCTTTCCTTGGTACGCATCTTCGATCAAGGCATGCCATCTCTTGGCTGTTCGAGGCCGCGTGAGCAGGTAGCAGTACATGGGTCGGGAGGCTTCAGGGTCTTTGTTCTTCACGAGGGTGTCGAAAATCTGGAGGATGCCACCAAGCGTAATCTCCGAGAACTCATCAGGCCGGCACGTCTAGGTAAAGCAAGTTAGATGGAGGAAGAAAACAAAAGAGAGAGAGAGAAAAGAAAGCAAGAAACCGAGTGAATGAAAAGATTCACATACCTCGGCAAATTCAAGTCCGAGCTCGTCGACCTGGAAGACGAGCTCGTCGACGTCGCTTAAATCGTTGCCCAGTTCTCTTCGAAAGCTGGCGATCAGCTCCTCCATTTTGCATTGCAGCAAACTCAGGTCATCAAAAAAGCACTCTCTGCCCTCGCTACCGGGGGAGTGGTAGAACAAAGGGTAGTCGGCCCCACGCCACGAAACCGTGATCATGGGCATATCCACTTCTCCGTCCTCGGGCGTGTGGAGAGACCCAGTGGAAGATTCGCCATACTGAATGTCAGCATCGTCGTCTTGATCCTCTGCGGGATAGATCTCCAGCCCATCGCCGGTTCCATCGAAGTCCTGCATAGATTCATCGCCATATTCCCGGCCCTCAGAGTCGGATGCATTTTCCACTGGCATGCCGCCGTCATCCCCTGTGTCTGGGATACTACCATGGTCCTCGCCGAGTTGGTTGACCTCGCCCAAGCCATCATCGTGTTCTTGTTTCTTCTCAGACTCAGTATGATCAGGGGCGGCCTCTTCGTAGTCAATCTCATGTTGACTATCATCACCTTGCTGTGAAGATAGGACCGTGGCCGAGGCATCTGCAACTGACTCGGGATCTTGGGTTTCCTCATCTACTAAATCATTAGGGGACAAATGTCCAGCGCCATCATCCTCGTAGGTATCGTCAACAGTCTCGCTATCCGCGCTGGGCTGTTTCGGCGCTTCGCTTTCGCTCTGTTCGTTATCCGGGTGGGAGTTCTGCGCGACATTCATCTCTTCCTCTGGACCAACACTTTTCAACTGCTCCTCATCCCATGTTATCACCGGTTCTTGAGAGTGTTCGCGTTTTGGTTCAATGACTGATGGAGCTGGGACAGACGCATCATCGACAAGGGCAGAAGTCTCAGCTAAGACAGCATCGCCATTCATGGGGGGCTCAACAGTAGAATCTGCAACCTCAAATTCGGATGTGGCGATCACGGTGGTTGACTGGAATATGGCACCAGGTGCTTGTTCCGCGAAGTTGGGAGCATCACCAGCCGAAAGGTTTGCATCGAAGCTCGAGATGTTGCTGGCTGCCTTGATCGGAGAGGACTCTGGGGCCTCATCTTCGGAGTAATCAATATACCCATCGTCCATGTGACTTTCGAGGCCATCTACAGGCGCAGACAAATCGAGACTCATATCTCCATCGGGCACTTGTAATGTCGTAGACATGGTTGTCGGCTCTGTTCGTAGGCTTATCGGATGGCAGAGTTACAGTAAGGAAAGGGAAAAGGAAGAAGGAGAAAAGCAAAGTCAAATCCGCGTGGCCGTGGTTGGGTAAGTCGCGGCCAGGTAAGCAGAGGCGGTATCCAGGGTACAATCGGTTCTGGCTGGCGAACCAGCTTAAGGCAAATAAGGTAGCCGCAATCTTCCAGGTTCTGGGTGCTTTCCTCGTAGACTCGGCCAAACTGCACACTACCTAGGTACTTGCAAACTCGTCGACGAAAGTGTCTGGACAGTTACAAATAGAGGGAAGGAAAGCGGCGTTAGAGTGATTCGCGATCGCAGGTGGAAGATTGGCGGCTCGGTAAACGGCTGAGTGAAGATGGTGGTGTCTCAAGAATCTGAAAAGTTCTGAAAGTCGACTTCAATGGAATTTTTGCTCCGCATGGACAAGAGAGATAGATGATGAGAATCGCTGTGGCGAGAATGTGGCGATGGATCACGTTGGTTAAATGGCGGGATTCGGAAAATCGAAGGCACGAAAGAGGAAGGCAAGAATTTTGTGGACAATGTCGTGGACAAGGAGGAAATTGAGGGTAACGCGCCAGCCTAAGGTGATCTTATGCTATGAAGATTTGAAGCCCCACCTTACGTTGTACTTCGTACGGTACCTTACGTCAGGCATTATTAGGTCTCTTCGGCGTAGCGTGAAGTGGTCCGTGCATTGACCAGATACCACACATCCAAAATCGAGCTAGGCGGGAGGTTCGTTGGACCCTCCTGATGTTATGTCTCCTGGGTTGCGACAGCACCACGAAAATAGTTGCCAACCCAAAACTCCTCCTCGCCGAATAGTAACCATCGCCAGTTCTCCGTCACAATGGTGAGTTCTCAACGAAACAGATCTATTAGGGAGGTGACCCCGGTTCTGACAAGACTAGGTTGTCCTCGCAGCGTCGATCTGCACCCGTGGCGGGAAAGCTGTCCTCTCCCGACAGTTCAGGGAGATGCCACGGTCTCGCATAGAAGCCCTTCTAGCCTCGCTTCCCAAACTGGCGGACTCCGGCACGCAGCACACCACCGTTGAGCAAGACAATGTGCGCTTTGTGTACCAGCCATTGGACGAGCTGTACATGGTGCTCATCACGAACCGCCAATCCAACATTCTCCAAGACATCGATTCGCTACACCTCTTCGCCCAGGTGGTCACCAGCACCTGTAGGACTCTTGACGAGCGGGAAATCCTGAAGAATGCCTACGAACTACTCAGTGCTTTTGACGAACTCGTCGCCCTGGGCTACAGGGAGAACTTGACGATCGGCCAGATCAAGACCTTCTTGGAGATGGAGAGTCACGAGGAGCGTATCCAGGAAATCATTGCGAGGGTATGCCGTGGCCGACACAAGTGACCCAAATACGAAGAATCATGCTAATTCGGTTTATCTTCTAATCGTCTAGAACAAAGAGTTGGAGGCAACGGAGGAGCGGAAGCGCAAGGCCAAGCAGCTCGAGATGCAACGAAAGGAATCGGCACGGGCCAGCCGCGCCGGCATGCCCAGGACGCCCGTGTACCCGACATACACGCCGCCGGCCCGTTCGACGACAACAACAGATACATACGACTCTTACGAGGCTGAGAAGAACAAGACATACAATAAGTGGGTGACCCCCTCCCTCCCCTCCCTCCCCTCCCTCGCCAGGGTCCGCGCCAAGCCTACATTGGGGACTGACATGTGTTAATACCATTTTTGTAGGATGAGCGCGCCCAAGGCCAAGGGTATGCAACTAGGCAAGAAGTCCAAGACTACGGACATGTTCGAACGCGTTCGTGGCGAGATGGGGCCCGAAGTCGACGATTCCCCGTTGATCACCCCGGCGGCGGCACCGGCCACGGAGCACGCTGCGGAGCCGCGGCTGTCTTCTACGCTGGATCGGGATGCCATCCACGTCACCGTGACCGAGGCCATCAGCGCCAAACTGTCTCGCGAAGGGGCCATCAACTCGCTGGCGATCAGCGGCGACCTCACGCTCCGCATCTCGGATCCGAGCCTGACCAAGATCAAGCTCGACCTCAGGGCGGTGCCGAGCCACGGCGCGCAGTTCCGGACGCACCCGAACGTCAACCGCAACGCGTTCAACGAGTCCAAGGTGATCCAGATGAGCAACACGGCACGCGGGTTCCCGGTGAACAACGCCGTCGGGGTGCTGCGGTGGCGGGCCACGCCCAAGACGGACGACAGCAGCGCCTGCCCGATCACGCTGACGGCGTGGATCAGCAACGAGGGCGGCAAGTGCAACGTGACGGTGGAGTACGAGCTCACGGGCGGCGACACGCTCAACGACGTGAGCGTCGTCATCCCCTACGGGGCGAACGAGCCGGTGGTGTCGAGCTTCGATGCGTCGTATGAGGTGTCGGGCGATTCCGTCGAGTGGAATATTGGCAGCGTGTCGGAGGACAACCCCAGTGGAGCGTTCGAGTTTGAGGCCGAGACGGACGACGAGAACGATTTCTTCCCGATGACGATACGGTTTTCCAAGACGTCTCCTTACGTGGATGTTGATGTAAGTGTTCCTCCTCCTCTTCCTCTCTCTCTCCCGGGGAGCGTCTGCTCTTCAGTCGTATCACGAGGATTAACACATTCGGGCAGGTTTTGGCGGTTTCTTTGTTCGAGGAGAACGAGGAGGTCACTTTCTCCAAGGAACTCAAGTCTGTCGCGGATAACTTCTTGGTCGAATAAATAAAAGCAGAGCATCACCAGACTTTGGACGCATCTGGGAGATTCTCCCGTCTTGTTTTTCTTCTTCTCTTTTTCTTGAGCAGATAGAACGAATGCGACGATGGGATCAAAAAGGGTCACGGCATGGGCTGTCACTTTTCCTGTCTACTTAGTTGACGTTGAACGTTGATGATAATAAAAGGAAATACCTTAGTAAATTGGAAAAGTGGTCACCACGAAAGCGCCATTGAGTCGAGTACGCCGCAATTTACATTTGGAATAGGGTTGTTGTGATTAGACACTGTGTGGGAGACCCGGACATAGCCTGTACATAAAGTCCACAGCGGACCCCAGCCTCGCTGGAGTGCGCGAAACGATCCGTGCGACTGTAGTGGATTAACACAGCTTGGGGGGAGGCTCTTGCCCGCAACCTCCAGGACCAGCGCATACTAAGGTAGGTAGGTAGGTACGGTAGGTAGGTAGGCAAGGTACACACAGTGAGGGAGGAATGGGCAATCTCAAGCGTATCTTGACGGCGTGACCTTCCTTTTTTTTTTTTTTTTTTTTTTTTTTTTTTCCTTCTGTTACCTGTATGGCGTGTACGGCGTATACTCTCCTGGTGTTCAGCTATAATATTACCCTCGGGGGATGATCATTCCCTCCAGTCCCGTTAAAATAATATCAGTGTCGACTCGCTTTGCCAGAAGAGAGCCTTCCTTGACACTCACTCTCTCACCAACCAGGGGACAAAAGCCCGAGCGATCATGCTCTTGCAACGCTTTGCAACACATCTCTCCTCTTCTTAATGGCTGAACCGGAACCTTTGCGTCTCCTAAGCGAGACTCGGTTCGATCATCGGGTACCTGATGGATTACCCAAGAGCAATCCTACCGTGGACCTAACAGCTACCTGGGATGCATCGGCGGAGAATCTTCTTATTTATCGTCCAAAAGATCAAGTCGTGTCCAAGATACGTCAGATTTCTCGGCCAGGCATTGCGGCACCGGAACCACTCGCTCTGAAATGGAAGCCCGATGGTGTGTCCTTTCATCCCTTCGTTCCCTTCGCGTATTCCCTTCGCCTATTCACCTTTTCCCATCTACGCCCATGATGAGAACTTGACGCGCTGATCCCTTGACAGGTCAGTTTCTGGCCGTGGGCTGGAGTGACGGCCATGTGAGGCTCATGGGCCTCGAGTATAACAAGGCGGCTCATCATATTCCCATCTGCCCGGATTCGTCGGCCAAAATCACCCATATCGGTTGGGCTCGCAACATCATTGGCAACCCCCCTAACGCCCATAGCCACCCGTCGCAACAGGATCAGTCGCTCTCTTCGTGGCAGCATGATATGGCCAGGGAGCTGGAATTAGGAGACAAGGAGAGGCCTCCTCCTGTCGACCTGCCCCGCGAGCTCACGTTCCTCGAGATCGATGCTTCCCTCCCGAAGATCAGTCCCCTTCCATCTAGTAGTGCAGGGGACGGGTATGTTCTATACTCCCCTTGTCCCTTTTCTTCTTGTGCTTTTTCCTCCTCTTCGATGCGGATAGACCACTGACGCCGTTCCAAAACGCTAGGGAGGACGCCATGGTCTTCACACTACGGACCAGCATAGAATTCCTCTTCCAGCCGTTCAAGGCCGATGACAGCGACCAAGTCTATATCATGGTTGTGGGTACGAACGACGGCCGTCTTCACCTCAGTATCTACGACTCCTTCGTCATCGGCGACTTCCGCTACACCCTCCCAAGCGCCATTTACCGGCCGGGCGTTCTGCAACTCACCCATCATACCTCGCACCCTACCATGTCCACCCACAGCCTGTTCCTGAAGCATCCGTCAGATGATGACCGAGCCCTCTACCTCGTTCCCATGGACCTACCCTTCATACCTTCGTCACCCATCAACCTCTCCCTCATAGCATCCAAACTGACGACAGTACAAAAGTTGCTACGCTACGTCAAACAAGCCCAACTCCACATGGTGGTGGAATATAACAACAGCCGAGAGCTCCCCTCGCGTTTTATGCGTAGCGTCCAAGAGGATCTGGCTAAAGAAGAGAGTGGCCCTAGTGACATTGTCCCAGCCTTGTTCCACGCCGTCGTCACTGGCCATCTCTACCCCGTCGCCAGGGAGTGGCTTGTAGACCAGTTGGCAGAGCGTGTAAGTGTCCAAGTCTCTTAGTGAAAACGCCACTATGCCCATCTCTAGCAGATGAACTAACGGGGCGGCTTTTTGTTGACTCCTCGGACTTTCTAGGGCCACAAGCGATGGGACAAGGCCGTCACGTCCGGCTTGCAGAACCTCCGGTCTCTCATCCACGAGAATTTGATCCCCGCCCTCGAACGGCTATCCATCATCCTTAGCCGTCTCCGCGGCCTCGCCCTGTTCTATGACAACCGGGACGACATCGGATTCTCAGTCACCCAGATCACCCGTGCCATGGACTTCGTCTCTTGCTTGAAGGTCATAGGCCACCGCATCCTTCTTCAAGTAATGGAAGAGCTCGACTTTTTCAATGCCTTCTCGGCCTGGCTACGTTTCCAAATCGACCGCGCAGCCCAATCCGGCTCCGTGGGCGATGAACTCAGTGATAGAGAGGCCGCGCTAGACATCGGGTCCGTGCTGGCCTATGTTCAGCACTACTTGGTTCAGAGTCCCATGGCCATCTTCTTCGACGACGGTGTGACCGAGCAGGAGGCGCAGGCAGATTGGCAAACCGTCGGGGAGGGATCATCGTTGCTTGACACCATCGACATGCAGTTGAAGCAGCATGAGGCGGGACAGCCGTACAAGAAGGGCCTACCTCATGTTGCCTACCTTGTCGACCAGCTGGACGCCCGAGCAAGCGGTATCTTCAGGGACATTGCCGAAGCCCAGAAGAGAAGCGTTCACTTTGGCCAGCCAACCAAGATGGTCTTACAGCACGCAATGTCCAGCATGGATGCTGTAATGTGCCCTGATACTACTGTCGGGGTAAGTAGCAAGTTGAGTCGATGAACAGGAAATTCATCTAACCGGTCGCAGGATTCTAGCGGTGCTCGCACGTTCACCGCGATTACTCAACAAACACACGACTCGGAATGTAAGTTGAGGGGAGTCTTCCCACAGGTCACAGACTGGTCTGACTTGGGCCATGACTAACCTCGTATGTTGATCAAGTGTATATTTTCTGCACCCGGTTGAAGATTATCAACGGTATAAGCACCAAGATATCGGACACCGTCGCATCACTCCGTGTACAAACTAGCGGCAAGATTGTCGATCTGAAGTTTTCAAGCGGGACCACCTTGGTTCTTTTGTTATCGTATCCAGGTAAGAAGCCATCACCGTTGATCACATCATCGAGCCCTTTTCCCCCACTCCCCTTTTCTCCTCTGATAACCCTAACAATGTGACGACAGAAGGCAAGACAGCCGTAGTGCAAGTTCCAGTCCAATCCCCTCAGATCAACTACGCACCTTACACTGAAGGTGATCTTCCGCCGCCTCAAGATCTTGAAAAGACACTGGCGACGGCAGAAGGGTACCGAGTTTCCCCGCTGCCCGATGATCCTGCCTTGTCGCCCATACAGATGGAGGCACATTCCCGGAGCGAAGCGCGTGGGGAGATAGCCCCGCGAGTGTGTCTCCTCGGCCGCGATCGCGCAACCTGGAAGGTGTTTGTTCTGGAAGACGGAATCCAGAACGAGAGCAGCAATGCGTCTTCCGTTGCGCAGACGCCGAGGACTTTTGGCAAAGCGAACAAGGAGAACGGTCGCTCGGGCAAAGACAGCGAGGCGGCCTAGGAGTTTGTTACCACGCCACGGCCTCGCCCGTTCGAAGAGCCCCCTAGGCGGTTCTCCCCCCAGAGAAGTAGTCTCGGGACAAATAACAACAGACAAAGATAGAACCGCGGTGAGAAACGTATGGGTTATCAAAGTAATATTAAGGTAGATTAGGTTGTGGCTATGTCCATACCCTGCCCATCCGTTCTAAAGAGAAAAGTTCGAAGCACGTATCTTATACGTTTCCCCAGGAAGATGCCTAGCCGTGAGTTTGGCCGTGGAGCGGTTCGTCGCAGAAGGCAGGTAGGTTGCATAGGTACTTGCTAAGAAACGAAGAGGTATAATTTGCCTCTTACCTCCTTTTTCCTACTTCGGGTATCTACACCATCACCGACCTCGACATGATCCCTTTTAATCCCCCCCGCCCCCAGATGCCTCACTTCCTGGGTTTGGTAATGTCGAAGAATTCGGTCAACCCCTGCACGACAGCCTCGACGTTCATGTTCACGAGGGGCATGCGGTCGTACGAGTCCTCCTTCATGATGGCGACGAGGGCGAGGTAGCGGTCGACCTCGCGCAGCATGATGGGCCGGCCGGCGTCGTGGAGGACCATGCAGCTCTCGGCCCAGGGGCAGGCGACCTGGTCGTCGACCTTGGCGTTCCAGGGCTCCCCCTCGATGCGGCGGCGCTGGGCGTCGGAGCGGGGCCAGGAGCCGTAGACCTCGGTGATGTCGATGATGACGTCGATGTAGTCGGAGCAGATCTCGTAGGAGGCCATGTCGGCGGCGGCCGAGTCGGTGGCGATGTAGATCTTGGAGAGGACGTCGAAGAGGTAGGCCTTCTCGAAGCGGCATGTGCGGCAGAGGTTGGTGAGCATGGCCTCGAGGGTGCCGAGCTGGGGGATGAGCTTCTGGATGACCTTGGAGAAGGCCTCGAAGATGGAGTGGTTGTAGATGGACGTGAGGTGGAAGGTGACGGGCGCGTTCTCGAAGCCGTGGTCCGAGAGTTCGTCCTGGATCCGGATGGTGATGTCGCGTTGGATGTCTAGCTTGTAGTCGTCCGAGAGGCCGTCGACCTTGTGGATGAAGACCTCGATGTTGATGTTCGGATAGGAGCGCTGCAGGTGAAGGATGGTTGTGTTGAGGCGCGTCACGGCCTCGAGGTAGTCGTCCTGGGCATCGATGACCCAGATAAGGGCGCCGATTTCCCCAAAGATGGCGTCCATGTCATAGTTGGGGTTCTCAAAGATGTCGATCTGGCCGGGGAAGTCCCATACTTGAAAGTCCATGAACGAACTTTGCGGCGGCCGTCTGTGTCAGCCGAGGAGAAGGACAATAAGACCCGAGAAGAGGATCAAAAGGTGGGGAGGGGAGGGGGGCAGATGCAGATGCTCACGCCATGGAATCTTTCTGTATCCGGGCCGTCGACTCGAGAAATAGGGTCTCATTGGGCGGCAGCTTGTGAAAGACGACACTCGATATGGAAGACTTGCCGCTCCTAAGTTGAAATTTAACAAGTTAACTAGCGAACGAGGCTGGCAACGGGTAACGGGTAACGGGTAACCCTCACCTCCTTTGCCCCATAAGAAGAAGCCTCGGCCGTCCTTTTGTAGTCGGCCTGGCTGGTGCCTCGGGTGGCGTGGTGGCATCCTTGTTGTTCCGGACCACTTGACGGCTCTGTTCGAATACGCGTTGCAGAGTTAGCTTGGCTGGGCTTTCACCGCGGATATTCAAAGCATAATCAATGGAGATGCCGGCGCCGGCACCATCGTCCGCTTGGGATGGTGATGATAATGAGCGGCGAAGGCGAGAAAAGATGGACATGGCTCCGACGTGTCTCCTTGCTCTCGCTAAAGAAACACAACGGTGCGAAGGTGAATCGCGGGAGAGCCGGTAAGGGAAGCGAGGGGGCTGTAACAAGAGGCTAATTGCCTGGCCGGGAGGGATCAGGAAAGAAGTAAGCACGGGTTAGAAATATCCAAAGCGCAACTTGAGCATCCATCTGGCTGGCATGCAGTACAACCAAAGTCTGTAAGCGGTTGAAACGTTTGCCTTGAGGGCTCACAAAGTCCAACAAAACAAGAATAAAAGGATATATGAAAAAGAAAATGAAAAATAAAAAATAAAAAAATAAAGCAGAGTCAGACCGACTCGGAGGTGTCTCGTATGCGCTAGCTCAAATTACGGAACCAATGCAGGTGAGATTCCGGCATTTCGCATTTTGCAGAAAACAAGGTCCCGGAAAGGCACACGAGTTGCGGCAGGTTCCCGAGACTAGGTAGGCAGCGTGTTGTCGTCGATTTAACGTCTCCCTCGAGGCAAAGGCCCATGAGATGAGTGAATCCGAGAAAGGTGATAGATAACCCAAGGCACGGCAACCGGTTGGCCAGCTCTGTTGTCGCACAAGAGAGCGCATCCGTAACCCTTCAATCAGTTTAACGCGGTTCACCTGGCGTCATGGGCGCGATACCGGTGAAATCACGGATGGACGTGAAAAGGGGGGGCTCAAGTTTTTGGCTAGCAGGCAGCCAGCCGGTCAGCGAGGATGCGCGAGCACATCCTGACTGGACCGAGTAACGGGGTGAAGCTTGGCTCTCCCTTGGCCCTCCCATGGCTTTCTCTGCATTCATCCGGTCCAACCGCCCCGACGGGTTGTTGCGGTGTAAACGGTAAACGGTAAACGTCGGGATAGTCGAGCTATCGATGAGGTAGGGGAGGGGAGAAGAATAAGAATTGATGGAGACAGTTCGTATGGCAGACTAGCGAGTCTCATAAAGATGAGACGAAGTGTCGGTGACGGAGCGTCTCCCGCTTTATTGGTCTCCGCGAAGGGAGCTAGTCCTTGTCCCATGGTTTCGGCCATGGTCTCGAAAAACGCAGTGAAACAGGTGGGATAGTCGAACTCTGTATGCCGAAGATACCGGACGGCAGGTATTATGAACAAGGCCTTGGAGAATGACCATGTTGCTGCCGGAAGGGAATGACACGCATGCGATGAGACCAACATACAGGGTACGGGCTAAAGAAGAAGAAGAAGAAGAAAAGGAAAAGACAAAGAGAGACTTGCTGGTTGCTCACCTCCATTGCTAAGAGATTGTCTCGGAGAAACCGAACCAGAGGGAGGAATGAGGAATAGGAGAGAGTCGTGGATCGTAGCGCCCGGCGGGTGGCACACTGGTGGATGAAGCAACAGTGCAGTGATTGTGGTGATGGCTTCCAGACCGAGATAAGATGACGATTCTCACCAACGCGTCCTGCTTTCGTCCGGGTTGATAAGCGTGTGTGTGTGTGTGTTGTTGTTGTATTTGAGTGCAGTGTATGTGTGCTCCGTATGTCCGTCTGTGTACGTGTGTATGTGTGCCGTGGACGGAATGCTCAAGAGTGAGTTGCGTCTCCTCCCAGTTCCCTCTCCCAGCCTCTCAGAGAGTAAACAGTAGCTATATATATATATGTATATATATATCAACTAGTTACTCCGGCATTCAGTCTCGGGATCAATTGGGACTTGAGTCTGAGCTGTTCCGCTCTAGTCGACAACCGAACGGTCAAACGAGCAATCGACGGCCTGGACGGAGGGGCTGTAATTGATACGAGATTATGCGGGCATTGGATTAGGTTGGTCTGTCAGATCGCCCCAGAAATCGCAAGTTGGATTGGTGGCTTGAGATCGCTGGCCGAGTGTTCGTCGTTGCTTTTTGCAGGGGATGTGATGTGTTGTGATGCGAGAGATAGAAGGGAGGAGTTGTCAGTATCAGTCACCGAGTCGAGATACAAGATGCAAGATGCGAGATGCAAGATGGGGGGGGTGTGGCTGGTCATGCGTCGCGGTGCGTGACGTGTACCTTAGCTCAAGGTATATATGACTTTCAATTACATAAGCAAACAGAGTTGTACATGGTATAAATTTACGGTCCTCTCCCCAGGACCCCGTAGTGTACATTCATTCATTCCTTGACGCGCTCTCCTTCTAACGATCCAAGCGTCAAGACAACACGCAGATTTCATTTGTCGTTCTTCCTATCGCGGTTCGACCTTTCCGACCGCTATAGGAGTGTGTACTCGTACATTCCTCTCTAGCACGGCCTGATACGCCGTCAAAGTCAGGATGGCCGCCTCGATCGGCACTAGAAGCGCGGCAAGGTACAGCGCCGCGAGGCTCTGCCTGCAGAGCGTCCCAAAGTGCGGTCTCGCCGTCATGAACCTGTCCTCCCACCGGCAACTCCAGCTCTGCACCGTGTCCGCCTTGTCCGACACTCCGACGCCGTAGAAAAAGGCCATGACGGTCAGGGAGGCCACGAGGGCCGCTAGCGGGGCGAGGACCAGGAGCGGCGTCCTGAGGAGGAGACTCTTGCGCACCTATGAGAAGACGATTGTCGTTTAGTAAAGCTGACTCTTTGTTGTATGAGGGGGGAGGAGAGAGAGAGAAAACGTACAAAGCTCATCCTGTCCGCGAGGACGGAAATGGCACTCGCAATGGTGATGATGACGCCCCCAACTATGAATGCATATGTCGGTCGCAGGTCGAGGTCGTCTGGCCAGAGCGGCTGGAGATACTCTGCCGGCTCGTACGTGGCGTGGTACACCGAAAGGGTTTTCGCCGACATGCCCGAGACCATGATGCTCGCGCAGAGTCCCACGAGAGTCAAGGCCGCCCGAAGACCGTGGGTAGATCGGAGTCGGCCGAGATTCGCGACAGCGGCATCAGCGTCGGCGTCTTGTGAGCTGAAGTCCATGGCAGTGCAGGAGACGTTGTGTCTGGTCTTGCGGTCGAACATGTTGGCGTTTTCCGCTTGAGGAGGGTTGTAGTAAGAGTTTGTTGTTGCCGGTCGGGGCTGATTCGAATAGGTGAGTGATGCACGGAGAAATTACGGAGCACAGCGAAGGAATTGAAAAGACAGCTCAGCTGCAGTTGCTAACCGTCTGAAAGCAAGACTCGCGGGGGAGACGCGAGATGGCACATACCTATACATATATATATAGGGATGTTGTGTTACTCCATGGCCTATTTCGAGGGTCACTGACGCATAACCGCCGCCATGGCCGGCGCCTCATCTCATTGCTCGGCAGTTGCGTAACGTTTTTGTTTCAACCCAGGCCGCCGCCGCTCTTAGCCCAGTCAAGAGGCTCAATCATTACGCGATCTGCTCCTGAGCGTCGACTTTCAGGGGAAGCAAGCGACGCGCCGGGGCAAAATGATTCATACGGTAGCCGCGTCGCATATAGGTATCGTATCGCCCAACCGCCAACTGTCAACTTATCGACTGTTGTGGACCTTAGCCGCCCGGTCAGGGTTCCGAGCGCTTATAAGGAGATATCCCCTGACGATCGCATCGGCAAGATCTTGGCTTGGGAGACATGAGGTTGTGGCCAATCAACGCTTCGCGATGTCGGCTTGATCTCTTGATGTAAGAAAGACGTTGCTTACGCATCGTACATGTCAATTCCTATGCGATTGGTTAATTACCGCTTGTTTACTGAAGATAAAAGCCCCGATTCCGACGAGCTCTGAGGTGAGTTACGACATTTGCCCGGGACGGTCGGTGTTCGGTGAACCTCGGTGAGTGGACCAGAGACCGCCGGTTATCCAAAAGCCTTCGCCGAGGCCCGCCTTCTACATCCCCACATCCAGCCCGATACGACCCGCATGCATTTCCTTCGGCCTACCCAACCCGATACCCTTCCGGCGTCCTCTCACGATGGCCTCCAGCGCCTTACCCACCGCCGCCATGTCCCCAAGCATGGTAAGGTGTCCGCGTTCCGTGCTCACCTTCCCGCCCCTCACGAGCTCATACCCCTCGGGGAGCTGCGCCTCGCGCGCGAGCACGACGCCGTCTCCCGGCCGAAAGACCAAGTCGTCGTAGGCGTCCGCGCACTTGATCGCCTCCCGCCCGGCCACCTTGACCGCGTACACCGTCGGCGTGTCCTTGCCGTAGATGATGGCCGTGGGCGGGTACGCGTTGGCGGCCGAGAGGGACGGCTTATGCGCCAGCTCGGCCCGGAACTGCTTGATCTCCGCGAGTGTGCGCTCGAGGTAGGCGATGTTTCGTGCGCGCTGCGCCGGGGTAAGCGGTAAGGCGGAGGAGGAGGAGGAGGAGGAGGAGGAGGAGGACGGCGTCGACGACGACGACGAAGAGAAGGAGCGGGAGAACTCGAGGAGGGGTCCGCCGGACCGGTCGCTGCTACTAGAGTCTATTTGGGGATTCAAGTTTTCTTCGCGGGCCTGTTCGGCTTTCCGAGCTAACCCCCCGCGGGAGGTCGAAAAGATCTGGCTCTGTCGTTTCTCGCCTGCCGCACCGCCGCGGGCGCGAAGGATGGAGCCGAAGCCCCCGGTGGGGCGGGGTTGACAGGGCGGTAGAGTCGGCTCAATGCAAGGCGACAGGCGATGCTTGATCCAATCGTCGACACCGAAGAAGTCGATGGGGTATTCCTCCTTGGTCTGCTTGTCGATAAAGCAGAAGCCGTCCTCGGGGAGGAAGGCGAAGGTGGTCCGTAGCGAGAAGTTGACCTGCGCCGTGAGGATCTTCTCGTTGAGCAGCACGGCGTCCCCGTTCCGCACGGGGCCCAGCACGTTGATGCAGCGCTGCGGCGTGCCGGCGTACATGACGCCCGAGAATAGGTCGGGCCGCTGGTTGACGGCGTGGCGCGTGATCATGCCGCCCAGACTGTGGGCGATGACCAGCGCGCCGCCGCCGCCGGGCTGCTGATTCGACGGGAGCCCCGCGAGGAATTCGATCAGCTTGCGCGAGAGGCGGTGGGGGCTGAGGCGCCAGTCGTAGCCGTAGTCCCATACGCGCAACCTGCCTTTCCGGACGTTCTCGCAGGACCGGACCTTCTTGAACAGTTTCCTGGAGATGTCGATGGGCCCGATGTTCTGCAGCATGCCCGAGGCGACGATGCGTTTCTCCATCGTCTCCTCGTCGTCCGGGTCCAAGCCGACTGCGAGGTCGGCCTTTCTCAGGTTGAAGCCGATCTTGACGGGGGCCCAGAGCTGCTGGTGCGGAGGCTCCGCCGAACGCAGGATGGAGCCGCGATAACCGCCCAGAATCACCAGATCGCCTGTCAGGGTCTCGAGGACCCGGTCGAGCGGGGTCATGCCGTCCAGGGCGGAGCCCGAAGCGGAAGCGGAAGCGGGAGCGGAAGCGGGAGCGTTGGGCGACGAGGGCGACGAGGGCGACGAGGACGGCGCGGCGGGCGCCTCCGGGATGGACGGTATCCTCGGGTCTTCGAACGCCTGGAACATCTTGAGCTGGGGGGACAGCTTGGGTAGGCTGGGGATCCTGAAGGTGGGCCTATCGGGCAGGCTGTCCCTGATGGCCTTCATGCGGGAGTTGGTCATGGCCGTGACGTGGTCGAACTGGTTGTCGTCGCCCAGCGACGAGACGCGAGATATGGAGTGGTATAAGAGCGAGTCATCCGAGGTGCTCCTTCGAAGCGACCGCGTCCTGGACGAGGCGGAAACGGCCGACCCTGCGATGGACGGGTTCCTTTGATGGAGCGGAGGCAGTACGATCGGATAGGTCACGGTGTTGCGGTGAGGCCGTGTGCCGGCGGCGGCCGGGGAGGAGTTGCTGCGATCAGGTCGAGTGGTTCTGGGAGACCGGGCGCCGCCGGACTTGTCGGTCTCACTATCGGGGGGCGAGGCTGAGGGTGAGGGTGAGGGCGACGGCGACGGCGACGGCGGGAACAGGTGTGTGGATACGGAGTTGAAGAGGTGTGCGGGTCTGGGCAGAGAAGGAAGGGCTCTCGAGATCCTCTTCAGGGCATCGGCGCCCATGGAGCCCGACCGCTTCGGTCTGGAAGAGTAAGACACGACGTGTTCGGTCTGGTTTTTCTTGACCCCGGGCGTAGGCTCCTCGTCTATGCGGGAGCGCCAGGGGGAGGGCGGGGATGGAAAAGCGGGACTGGGATCGAAATAAGAACCACCAGAATCGCCGGCTAGCGTATCCATAGCGGCGGCCTTTTCGGCGGCCGGGGTCTGGGGGAGGGTGAGACGAGCGGCGACGGGGCTCAGGGCCGGTTGCATGACGGACTGGGCGACGTCGGTGTATAGTTCGTCTTCGCCGGTTCCATCCTCCGTGCTGGGTGGCGGGAGGGAACATGGCTCTACAGCCTCTACTTTGACCTGTGCGGCCATTGTCTCAGGGAAAGGAGGGAAGGGAATGAGGAAGGGAATGTGGAAGGGAATGAGGAGGGTGGGAGGTCAGGGTCAGGGTCAGAGTCAGGGTCGTCAGGTTGGGTAACGCGGGGTCAGCAGTCAGGGCACGTGTTCCCGGCCGTTCCGGAGACTCCGGTGTCTAGGTCGGGCGCATCGGAAACGGCAGCCTCGGCGCCGATGCACGTTTAAAACGGCGAAATTATGATGCAAACAGACAATGAGGCGAAGCAACCTGGAGCGTGGAGCGTGGAGCACGAGCACGACCATGACCGAGGTGAGGAAGTAAAAGAAGCGTGTACCGAGTACTGGGTAGGTAGGATCATCATGACGGAGGGCTGAGCGGTAAGGTAAAACGTCGGACACGGAGAGAATTACCTATACCGGCAGGTACATCGTCCGAGCCGTTTTTTGAACCAATCCCCCATGTTTACGGGTACGTACCTAAGGTAGGAATCTTGTACATCGGTGTATCTATCCACTTCACGTGTCTTGTGTTGTTCGGTGGGACATGACAGCAGGTTCACATGTATCCGTATATAGTGCAAGCACATGACCACAATGTCCACAAAACGAAGAAAAGAAGAGAAATAAACGTTTCAGGTAGATTCCGTTCCGATAGTCATTGAATCCGAACATTATAATGAACAGAGCTCAATTCCATATAATACGATAATCCAATTCATAAATTCACCGCAAGTTTCGGAATACTTTCTTCCCTGGTAGCCCAAGGTCATCGAGATTGGTAAGCAGCCATGCCCGACCACATGGTGTTAGGTATATCAACGATCCAACAGATCCTGTCACATAAGCAACAGTCTCGGACAACGTGCCAGAGTGGTTAATGGGTATGACTCGAAATCATATGGCTTCGGCCGCAGAGGTTCGAATCCTCTCGTTGTCGTTTTTTTTTGGGGTTACTTCACGCACAGTTGCCCATCTATTTTTTCTCTCTTCACATTTTGCATATCTGACACACAGTATATCTTATGAGTACTATTCCATTCTTTCTCAACGACTGTCTTCTAAACACCAGTCAGGGCTTTTTCCCATAAGCACATACCGTATTCAGATGGAGGTCTGTGTACCGGTGTAAGATTGCTGATTGTGCTAAGGCCTGAAGTACCTTAATTAAACGACATGTCTCGTTCGGGGTTGTTGCAGACATTGGGCACGACATCTCCCCTTGTTTCATCCTCGTACTCAGAGTTGTATATGTAAGGTAAGGTAGGTACCTTATACAATGAGATTGACTATCCGAGCGTACCTCCGTACTTCGTGGGCCACTCGGGAAGTTGCTTCTTCTTCTCTCGTGCAATGACGGATGTCTCAGGTGCATTGGAGAATGAGTGGATAGACAAGGAACTGGGGTTAGCAAACAGTTACAACTGGTGGTTGGTTGCATTTACTATTATTATGAGGAATCCAAAAGTACCATGTAAACTTTACTCCGAACCCCAGCCCGGCATGGAAAACGTACACGTATATGGTCGTACAAAGTATCTTACGCACGAAGTGTCCGTACCCTCGGATAGGGTTACTAATAAGTCAGGCACCGTAGCTAGCCGGGGTACTGGTAGTATCAGTAACAGCCCTGACCAACTTCTTCATTCCCCCCGTTTTCACCTTCGACTTTCACACTTTCACCTTCATCACTTCGCCAACAGCACGTCTCATACATCTCCAAACGTGTAATCCTAAACTCCTAGACTAACATCCCACTCTTCATTCCCTTCCCTCATATTCTCCCGACGGGTTCTCCCTTACCACCTATTTGGCGACCTCGAGGTTTGCCGACTCATCGCTCAACCGGCTGTGCAGTGTTTGCTTCTTACACATCAGCCTTCCCCCCCCCCCCCCCCCCCCCCCCCCCCCCCTTCCTTCGTTCTTCGTTCTCCTTTCTCTTCTCTTCTTCCCCATGCTGGTGATGCCCTGCGAGGAACCTGACAAGACCTTGAACACAAGACCTTGAACCACACACCATTAATCATATCTCGCGTCCCGGTCGCTACCATGACGTCTGTTCAGCCGCGCCCTCCCTATACCGACGCCGAACTGCGGCAACTATACCCCCCTCACCTCCAGCTCCAATTTGTCCAGGTCCTTATGCGCCATGGCGAGCGCACACCGGTGAATGCCCGCTTCGAGAACACAGGCCTCCCCCCTTTCTGGCCCTACTGCGGCGTCGTCCGGAGGCTGAGCTCCGCCCTCCTCCACCCCGACTCGGATACCTGGACTGCCCCGGAGTGGCGCCGCCGGCTCGAAGCCTTCGGTCCCAACGACAACCCCATCGCCGCCGCCGGCCCAGGCGGTGAGCTCGACGCCATCTGCGACATGGGCAGCCTGACCGACCTCGGCCGTACCACCACCCACGACCTCGGCCGTCGTCTGCGCTCGCTCTACGTCGACCGCCTCGGCTTCCTCCCCCAGACCATCGCCGACTCGGACGCCTTCTACCTCCGCTCCACCCCCGTGCCGCGCGCTCTCGAGTCCCTCCAACAAGCCTTCGCCGGCCTCTACCCGCCCTCCGCCCGCGCGCCCTCCTTCCCGGCCCCCACCATCCTCATCCGCAGCCCGCCGGACGAGACCCTCTTCCCCAACGAGGCCCACTGCCGCCGCTTCGCCCGCCTAGCCCGCGCCTTCGCCCAGCGCGCCGCCGACCGCTGGAACGACTCCCCGGAAATGGCCTACCTCAACAAGAAGCTCGGAAAGTGGATGCCCCCCGACAGCCCCGTCATCGCCGTCGACTCCCGCCCCCGCCTCTCCGGCATCATGGACACCATCAACGCTACCCGCGCCCACGCCCGCCCCGAGACCACCCTGCCGTCCGAGTTCTACGACCCCAAGGCCATCGACATCATCGACCGCATCGCCGTCGAGGAGTGGTTCGCCGGCTACCGCGAGAGCAACGAGTACCGCACCCTCGGCATCGGCGGCCTCCTGGCCGACATGGTCGGCCGCATGGTCGGCAGCGTCGAGGGCACCGCCGCCGACGGCGCCCACGAACTCCCCACCCAGCGACACCCCCTCAAGATGGGCCTCAGCGGCTGCCACGACACCACCCTCGGAGCCGTCCTCACCAGCCTCGGCGCCTCGCAAGCTGCCAAGTGGCCACCCTTCACGAGTCACATCGCTCTCGAGCTCTTCCGGTCCGCCGACCTCCCTGCTCCCTCTCCTGCTTCTGCTTCTGCTTCTGCTTCCGCTTCCCCTAGCTCCTCCGACTCCACCGAACCCGCCATCCCCGAGAACTCGCCCGCCTCCCGCGAGTCCTCCGGCTGGTTCTTCTCCTTCTTCAGCTCATCGTCATCATCATCATCATCATCATCATCACCATCTTCTTCCCCCAAACCCACACCGGGCACCCCACCCCTGGGCATCGGCCGCAAACCCATCGACTCCCTCACCCCGCCCGAGCGCCAGAAGCTCAACGGCCACTACGTCCGCCTCCGCTACAACGACGAGCCCGTCACCATCCCCGCCTGCAAACCAGCCGGGAAGCACCTCGACGGAGACGAATCCTTTTGTACCTTGGTGAGCTTTTGAA